GTGATTAGCCCAAAGTCACCCAGTGGGCTTTCATGGCTAAGGCAGGACTAGAACTCACTAGAACTCTCCCGCTTTCTCGCCTGGTACCTTCACCACTAGACCCAACTGCCCCTCTGATGTTGTTAATCCCGATCGGCTTGTTGAGTGCCAGGATTTAGCATTTATTGGACCCGGCACAAATCCGGGCGATGCCAGGGCCGCCCGGCTCCTCGCCGGGAGCTGTGCCGCAATGGCAGCTGGCCTAATGCCCTGCCTGGGCTTACAGGACAAGGACGATCCTCTAGGATGCCAACATTTGCCCCAAGCCTGTCCTTGCTGCCCAGCTCCAGCCATTGGGCCTGCCTGCCTCCTCCATCCCAGAGGGAGAATCGGTGCGGTGCCCCGGGGCTGCCATCCTGCAGAGAATAAGTGGGCTGCCTTCCTAGCAGGAATTCAATCTTCCAGAGTAATTTAGGACAACGAGCAAGTCACACTTAACGACAGAAATCTGGGGCTCAATTGCAGCCGTAAGGCGAGGACTGCCTGTACGTTTGCTTAATAAACAAATCCTAATCCAATACATAAATGTGGGCACCAGCTGTGCAAAAGCTGCTAACCTGGGCAGGGGTGATCTCTTCCCCCCCCCCCCCCCCCCCCCAGGGCAGAAAAAAAAATATTTCGGGGTCGCCGTTGCAGATGTGCTTACAGCTTGAATTTCAACAGAGCGCTCAGCAAATCTACTTTCCCCTCTGTTTCTGCCACTAATGGCTGGATTGGCAGCTGGGCTGCAATTGTGTGGTTGTGTGTGTGTGTGTGGGGGGGGGTTAGGCCAAAGAGTGACTGCTGAGCATCACAGCTGCCATTGAAAAGTGACCGAGTCTTTCTGACCCTTGCGGAATATTTCATCTGGGCTGGGCTGATAATGAAGCTTTTTCTGTGAGAAAATTAGAATTATGTGGAGCGACAGTTTTTTTTTTAAAAAAAACTAGAAATAGAAAAAGAGGGAAGGGAGGAGAAAAAGGAGGGAGGAAGGAAGGAAGGAAGGAAGGAAGGAAGGAAGGAAAGAAGGAGGGAGAGAGGGAAAGGAGAGGAAGGGAAAGAGGGGGAAGGACAGAAGGAGGGAGAGAGGGAAGGAAGGATGGAAGGAAGGAGAGGGAGGGAGGGAAGGGAAGAAGGAAGGGAGGGAAGGAGGTAGGAAGGAAGGAGAGAAGGAGGGAGAGAGGGAAGGGAGGAGGAGAGAAAGAGGGAGAGAGGGAAGGAAGGAAGGAGAGGGAGGGAGAAAGGGAGGAGAGGATGGAAAGAGGGAGAAGGGAGGGAAGGAGGAAGAGAGGGAAGGACAGAAGGAGGGAAAGGAAGGATAGAAGGAGTGAGAGAGGGAAGAAAGGTAGGATGGAAGGAAGGAAGGAAGGAAGGAAGGAGAGGGAGGGAGGGAAGGAGAGGAAGGAAGGAAGGAAGGAGAGGGAGGGAGGGAAGGGAGGGGGACATCTCGGTATGCCCATGTGTTATCCCTGTCCCATAAGTCACCACAATGACTACCACAATGCACTCTTCCTGGAGCTGGCCTTGAAGACCCCTCGGAAGCTTCCACCGGTCCAGAAGGCAGCGGTGCAAGCAGAGAAGGGTCTGCCACGAGACATCCCTGTCAGCTACCACAATGACTACCACAATGCACCCTCCATGGGGCTGGCCTTGAAGACCGTTCAGGAGCTTCACCCGGTCCAGAGACATTTCTTGCCTCTTCCTAATCGGTTAGGACCACTTGGGCCGCTTTATGCAAGCTCAGAGGAGTGGACAGTTTGGAGATGTTGACACAGGCTGCACCCTGATTTGGCTAGCCCAGGGGTAGGCAACCTTGGCTCTTTTATGACTCGTGGACTTCAACCCCCAGAATTCCTGAGCCAGCTTGGCTGGCTCAGGAATTCTGGGAGTTGAAGTCCACGAGTCATAAAAGAGCCAAGGTTGCCTACCCCTGGGCTAGCCCTAAAGGCCACAGGGAAAAATGGGGGGGGGGGCAGGAGGGGGGGGGCTTCTCCCAGAGAGCAAGGATACTCACTGAGAATGTGGCCACTATTCCTCTTTTGCCGTGCCCCCTGGGACCGACACACGCGCAGAATGACCTGCTGCTCGGAAAAAAAAATCCCTGCCCTCAATGTAGCCTGGGATCGGCCTAGAATGATGTTTGCACTGAAGGTTTTAATCTTTTCAACTTTAAATTAACAATTTTGCCCTTTCTAGCTCCTGCGTTTCTGACCCCGGAGGAGAACGCTCCATAAAGCTGCGCTGATTCCCAGTGGGCTTCCAGGTGTGAGGAGGGGGCTGGCTGTTACCTGTAACCATGCCACGGGAGGACCTGGAGACTTGAGGGACCCCCGTTCTCCCCAGTATCTCCTGGCCCACTCAGTCCAACAGGGCTGGGGAGGGGGCCTAGTTGGTCCTAGAAGACCCTCGCCCTCAGGTCAGCCGGGGCCAGAAACGTTCATCCCGAAGACGAGACGCGCGAGGTTATCAGGATCGGCTTACCGTTCGCATCTGGTACCCCGGTGAGCGCGCCCACGGCTGCCGCCGTTTCGCCGGACAACACGATCTGCCCTCCGCCCTGGAGGGTGGCTTCGGCAAGCGTGGCCACGGCGTGAGCGGCTGCCTCACTGCAGGACAGAGAGAGAGAGAGAGAGGGAGGAAGAGAGAGAGAGAGGAAGCCATGAGCAGGAAGAAAGGAAAGGGCGTAGGAAGCCCCCCCCTCTCTTTCTCCTGCCTCGGAATTAACCTTTAACCTTTAACCTCTTTTCCGTTTGAATTTTATATACTGCTTTTACGCGCTTTAGATGTTTTATTTGCACACCAAACCGGAGTCCCTCTGTGAGGAAGATCAGCACTTTCTAAATATGATAGAGATAGATAGAGATAAATAGACAGATATAGAGATTGATAGATAGATGATAGATAGATGGACAGACAGATAGATACATAGATAGATGAGGGGATAGAGAGAAAGAAAAAAAGAAAAATAGAAGACAGCTAGAGAGATGGATGGATAGACAGATGGAGGGATGGATAGGCATAGATTGGGGAATAGATTGATAAATATACAGTAGATAATGACAGAGAATGGATGGATGGATGGATGGATGGATGGATGGATGGATGGACGGACAAGGGATGGATGACTAGATGATGACAGATAGATAGATAGATAGATAGATAGATAGATAGATAGATAGATAGATAGATAGATAGATGGATGGATGGATGGATGGATGGATGGATGGATGGATGGATGGATGGATGGATGGATGGATGGATAGATGGATAGATAGATAGATAGATAGATAGATAGAGGAGAGAAATGGAATAGAAAGAAAGAAAGATAGATGTGGGATAGAGAGAGGAGAGAGAGAGAGAGAGAATAGATGGACAGATATATAGATGGATGAGTGGATAGAGAGAAATAGAAAAAGATAAATAGAAGACAGCTAGAGAGATGGACAGAGACAGATGGAGGGATGGGTAGGCATAGATTGGGGAATAGAGTGATAGATAAATATATAGAGATAATGAGAGAGGTTGGATAGATGGATGATGGGTGGGTGGATGGATGGCTAGATGNAGATAGACAGAAAGGAAGGAAGAAAGGAAGGAAGGAAGAGATAGGTAATGTGTTTATGATAGTCCTCCACTTACGACGATTCATTGATGACAGCTTAAAAAATAATGACTCCCGACCTGTCCCTGAAGCTACGGCCAATGGGCCATGGTCACAGAATCATAATTTGGACCCTTGTCAACCGGTCCACATTTGGGACCGTTGCAGCACCTGGCAGTCCCGTTTTGCAACCTTCCCAGCCGGCTTCCGTCAAGCAAAGGCAATTGGGGAAGCTGGATTCACTTAATGACGGTGTTTCATTTAACGTAACTTATTTAACGACCACAGGAAAAAATGGTCACAAAGTTGGGTCTGGCCACGTGACACTTTGCTGAACAACGGCATCACTTAGTGACTGAAATTCCAGTCCCAATTAAGGTCATAAGTGAAGGGCTACCTGTGTATATAAAATCACGTAACACACAAAACTGGAAAAACGATGATCTTTTAGAAAGTTTAATAATATTTCTAAGCCGCCCCACGGCCGGAGCAGTCTGGGGTGGCTTGCAATAAAACCTTTTTTTAAAAAAAAAACACCATTTGAATAAAAAGGCTTGCCATAAATTCAAATGAAATGCAAAATTGAATGCAAACTAACCAGCATCGTTCAAGATGTAAAACGTGCTGAATTAAAATAACACAAAAAAACAAGTCAAAATGCCTTAAGTGTGAAAAACCAGATGTAGGCAGTCTTCAACTTACAACAATTTATTTAGTGACCGTTCCAAAGATACAACGGCACCAGAAAGAGTGCCGTTTTAGGACCGTTTTTCACACTTACGACCGTACGACATCCCCGGGGTCACAGGATCAAAATTCAGGCGCTCAGCAACGGACTCACATTTACGACGGTTGCAGAGTCCCGGGGTGTGTGTGTTTGTGTGTGTGTGACGTGATCCCCTTTTGCAATCTTCTGACAAGCAAAGTCAATGGGGGGGGGAACCAGATTCATTTAACGACCGTGTTGCTAACTTAACAATTGCAGCGATTCATTTTATCAACTATGGCAAGGTCGTAAAATGGGGCAAAAGTCACTTAGCAACAAAAATTTGGGGCGGCAAGCCAACCTGTAAGCAGTTTAAGCTCTTCTTCCCCTCTCCTCCTCCTCTTCCTCCCTGCAAACCCCCCTCCCTTCTAGCCCTGATGATGTTCCCTAGTTGGGTCTTGAAACGTCTGCAAGGAAACCACCCAGCTCATAGAGCACCAAGGACCCCACAGTTGTTCTCCTTCCTTCCTTCCTTCCTTCCTTCCTTCCTTCCTTCCTTCCTCTCCCTTCTAGCACTGATGATGTTCCCTAGTTGGGTCACGCAACATCTGCAAGAAAGCCACCCAGTTCAGAGAGCACCAGGGACCCCACAGTTCTTCTCCTTCCTTCCTTCCTTCCTTCCTTCCTTCCTTCCTTCCTTC